CCTTACCGTGGCTACAACACCTCACCGTGGCTACAACACCTCACCGTGGCTACAACACCTCACCGTGGCTATAACACCTCACCGTGGCTACAACACCTTACCGTGGCTACAACACCTCACCGTGGCTACAACACCTCACCGTGGCTACAACACCTTACTGTAGCTACACCGCCTCACCGTGGCTACAACACCTTACTGTGGCTACAACACCTCACCGTGGCTACGACACCTCACCGTGGCTATAACACCTCAACGTGGCTATAGCATCTTACCGTGGCTGCAACACCTCACCGTGGCTACAACGTCTCACCGTGGCTACAACACCTTACTGTGGCTACAGCACCTCACCGTGGCTACAACACCTCACCGTGGCTACAACACCTCACCGTGGCTACACCTCACCGTGGCTACAACACCTTACTGTGGCTACAACACCTCACCGTGGCTACAACACCTCACCGTGGCTACAACACCTTACTGTGGCTACAACACCTTACTGTGGCTACAACACCTCACCGTGGCTACAACACCTCACTGTGGCTACACCTCACCGTGGCCACAACACCTCACCGTGGCTACACCACCTCACCGTGGCTATAACACCTCAACGTGGCTACAACACCTCACCGTGGCTACAACACCTCACCGTGGCTACAACACCTCACCGTGGCTACAACACCTCACCGTGGCTACAACACCTTACTGTGGCTACAACACCTCACTGTGGCTACACCTCACCGTGGCCCCAACACCTCACCGTGGCTACACACACCCTCACCGTGGCTATAACACCTCACCGTGGCTACAACACCTCACCGTGACTATAACACCTCACCGTGGCTACAACACCTCATCGTGGCTATAACACCTCACCGTGGCTACAACACCTTACTGTGGCTACAACGCCTCACCGTGACTACAACACCTTACTGTAGCTACAACACCTCACCGTGGCTACAACACCTAACCGTGGCTACAACACCTCACTGTGGCTACACCTCACCGTGGCCACAACACCTCACCGTGGCTACACCACCTCACCGTGGCCACAACACTTCACCGTGGCTACACCTCACAGTGGCCACAACACCTCATCGTGGCCACACCTCATCGTGGCCACAACACCTCACTGTGGCCACAGCACCTCACCGTAGTCACAACACCTCACCGTGGCAACAACACCTCACCGTAGCCACACCTCACCGTGGCCATAACACCTCATCGTGGCCATAATACCTCATCGTGGCCACAACACCTCACCGTAGCCACAACACCTCACCGCGGACACAAGTTCAGGAAAGCCACTATCTTGGCACGTAAGAGTAGTAGTCTCACTATGTAAATTGCACCGTAATAACCGAGCTTTGATTTACTACTGTTTTGCATATAGATTAAGTTGAGTGTCCCAGTATAACATAGGCTCGGCCGGGGCTTGTGAGGTGAGCATCCCTGATATGAGCTGCGGTAACTGCGGTATACAGCGGTAGTGGTAATGTCGCAGCGGTGGGTGGTAATGTTGCAGTAGCGGCGGCAGTGCCAATCATGCGGCAGCGCGGCATCCGTAAATGCCAGATCGGGATGAGGGCAGCATCATGCACAGGTGTCACTGTACATTTGCGTTTACAGCAACTTTTTCCTTGAATCATCTTCAGCGATGAATCTGAGGAAGCCGCTGGATCCAGCGGGCTTAGAGCTTCTCCTTAAACACACAACACTATCGAGTATCAATTAGAATCCAATAACTTGAACTCTAGATTCTAACAGAGTAGATCCTAGAAATTCATAAAAAGAGGTCATATACACAAACTAGATTTTTTTTTGTAGAAAACTTTAAAAAAAAACGCATATTTTTCGTGCCAAAATTTAACGTACGTTTTTTATAGCGCTATTGGGCTAGTAAAAGTAAGGTAGGGAATGGATTGTGATAGAATAAAAAGGTGCTAAGTCCTGTGGGAAGACAGGAAAAGACAGGCAACGAGGAACAGACTCCTCCCCCAATCACTGGTTTCTTCAGTACTGTGCTGCTGCCCTATTCTGTATATCTCCACAATGGGGGGGACCAAAAAAAAAACTTGGTTCCATGTCATAGTCCATGACGCAGACTGGGGCTCATACAAGGCGTTGAAATCTGCCAGCCAGAGCTGGGAGAGTCTCCAGCAGGTCACTGCCGGTGGTGAAGGTTGATGATTGAAATATTTGATTAGAGGTAGAAAGCCTATGTTGTGTTTCTTTACAAACACCAATACTTGTCAATACAGAAAACCAACATAGATTTATCAGCATTTGCAATCTAAACTTAAAACATAAAAACATATGATAAAACAAATTAAACGTTTGATCATAAACTCAATCCAAGAATACTAGAGGAAGTCAAGGAATTCTGGAAGAAGTCAAAGAATGCTAGAGGAGGTCAAAGAATACTAGAGGAAGTCAAAGAATACTAGAGGAAGTCAAAGAGGCAGTAGTCGCACGTCATCAACATTGGGTAAAGCGACTGTGGGGAAACAGAAGCGTTACTTTCACACAGTTTCATATTTTTTTTCTCTTATTCGTAAAACGTCTGTTTCAATCGTGCCCAGACTGGTAACTAAAGCAAAGTTCCCTTCCCCCCCAGCCGATGATTGAGACATCTGCTGCTGTGGGGAGAACTGCAACAGCGACCACCTGAGAAGGACAGCTGGTGTCATAAATCAATAGCTGATGTCATCCGCAGCGCTAGCTACAAGTACAGAAGGACATCACCACGCCTGAACAGAACATCATCCGTGTTTACGTTGACCTGAAGCAATACTTGTCGACGTCAACACTGGCTAGAAGTGGACAGCCTTACCCATGTTTATGAGCAGATGTGTCTTGCCTTCGCAGCTGAGTTTAACACAGCTGACAAACGTACTAAAGGCGAAGTCACTTTCCGAAGGAGGGAGAAGATGCTCTCTGTACGTCTGTGGTCGTACGTTGGCAGTGTGATGGTTGTGGCACTCACCACTCCAATAACAGCTACTACTACCACTATCGCCCCTACCATCGTCACCACACGCACACCAGCTGGAACTATAGTCCCCATTATGTTATACTGAGTAAGACATAAACACTGACATATTAAAGATGAAAACGATACTGGTGCAACGCCGTAATATTAATGCACGGCTCACCCCTACAGTAAGGGGAGGGAGTGGAAACAGTGGTGGGGAGGGGAAGGTATTGGAGGTACAGGGAGAAGAGGGAATAGCCAGGGGTAAAGGAGGTACTGAGAGGAGGCAAAGAGAAGGGAAATTGAAAGTGAAAAGGGAGAAGAGAGGGCTGAAAGAAAAGAATACGATATTAAATGAGAGAATAGATGAAGAAAATGAGAAAACAGAATAAATAAATGGAGAATAAAAGATATAGAGAAAAATGTAGAGAGAATAGAGTGAGAAAATAAAGATAGCTAGAGATAAGGTTCAATCCCCGAGACAACAGGATCCAAAACCTAGAGAGAATCGGATTAGATACGACAAGTAAAAGTGGCAAAGAATTCAAATGAATTTATGCAAATTTGGCATCGTCTTATAAGGTATTAAAACCATCTCTCAGGCACATCTCTCAGGCACATCTCTCAGGCACATCTCTCAGGCACATCTCTCAGGCACATCTCTCAGGCACATCTCTCAGGCACATCTTAAAGACGTCGCCCAAAGCTATATATATACCCAGGATAAATGAATACGATCCAGCTGAAAAAAGTGTTGCGAAGAGTCACGCGTTTATGCCTGAACGCACGAAATAACACGCGTTCATGCCGAACGCACGAAATAACACGCGTTCATGCCGAACGCACGATGAAACTGATCACCACACCTGACTTGGGAACGATTTTATTCAGCAAGTCAAGAAATACACGCGAGTCAGTGTTTCAGTTTTGTGTTCTTCATCATGCCAAATCTGACCGTAGTGGAGAGTTGAACTTCACTGCATCTCCGCGGTCCATAGGCCGTAGGCCTGACTCACTCAACCCCCCCCACATCCCACCACCACCAAGTCCGCAGGCCTCCCACGGCCTACGGACTGTTTGCTGGTCGAGGGAAGAGTATTTACCACGAAATGCATCAGGATTTATCATCTGATTTTGACTTGGTGCGTTCAATAGCGCTGTGCCTTCCTTCACTCCCTCCTGGTGATAACACGCCTCTCTCTCCTTTTCCTCTATTCCTGGCTCTTCTCCCTTGGAAATAAGTCACTCTGACTTTTTTTGGATTACCCTGATAGGTAATTTTTTTGGATTACCCTGATAGGTATTTTTTTTGGATTGCCCTGATAGGTAATTTTTTTGGATTACCCTGATAGGTAATTTATACACGTGTTAATATGAACGATAATTTCTGTACCTACTTATGTGTACCTTTACCTAAATAAACTTACTTACCCTCCCCTATCTATCTAGCCCTCCCCTATCTATTCAATTCCCCTTCCCTCCCTTTCCCTCTTCCTCCCTCTCTCTCTCTCTCTTCTCTCTCCTCTCTTGTTATCCCTCTTCATTCCTGTTCTGCCTTTCCCTGACACCATTCCATACGTTCCATTCTCCCCGCCACTCCCCCGCCCTCCGTCTCCTCCCCATTTTTAAAAGTCATTCTCCCCAAGGGATTTAAATAATTAGAGAATATTATCCTCATTATTGATCTCTTCAGCGATACAGTCCAATATTTTCCTTTACTCTCTCATTTATTCCAATTTATTCTTGAGTTACAGGGCTTCAGGGAATTATTGCTGGTCATTATGTTGTTTGTCTTGTGTGGTGTGTGTGTGTGTTGTGTGTGTGTGTGTGTGTGTGTGTGTGTGTGTACTCACCTAGTTGTACTCACCTAATTGTGGTTGCAGGGGTCGAGTCATAGCTTCTGGTCCTGCCTCGTCACTGGCCGCTACTGGGTCACTCTCCCTGGACCATGAGAATATCATACCTGTGTGTGTGTGTGTGTGTGTGTGTGTGTATACACGCGCGTGCAAACACGAGTTGATGACCTTACCTGTGTGAGAGTTGTGACCAGGGGCTCCCAGGTAGGCTGTAGGAGAGAAAGAAAGGCATCAGATATGACAACAGAGATTACATTATCAACTTTAAACCTACACGAGTTTACTGGTATACATGTAACCCTTTTATTATTGTTACCCAGAGACCATACAACAAGATAATAACATTGTATCTACGGAGAAATTTCTCCTCTTCTCTGTCTCTCTCTCTCTCTCTCTCTCTCTCTCTCTCTCTCTCTCTCTCTTTCTCTCGTATTCGAGCTCTACAAAGCTCTCATTCCCTATACATTATAATTTTCAATAATAAGTTTGGTTTGCTTTCTGCTAGAATGTACAATGAGTAAAATAATTACTTGGGTTCTAAATCAAACTCAATTGATCAAAACTAAAATATAAAGTACGAAGAAAAGAAAAAATGGGAAAAATATTTGAGAAAACGTCAATATTAACATTTTCTTGATTTCTGGTGAAAATGAGTTTTAACTCTAAGGCATAAAACTGCCGCGTTTGAAGTATTAATCTTAAAACTTAATATAGAAAGAGAGCGCGCGCGCACACACGCGCACACACACGCGCACACACGCACACACACACACGCGCGCGCGCGCACACACACACACACACCACACACACACACACACACACACACCAACACACACACGCACACGCGCACACACGCACACACACACGCACACACGCGCACACACACACACACACACACACACACACGCACGCACGCACACGCACTACAAACAAAGATAAAACAGCAAAGACCATGAACACAAACGAGCGATGCAAATAATAAAGTTTGTACCAATAAAGAGGTTTGCAGCAGCCGCGTCGTGTTTGTCAACTGTCGACAGCTTGTCACTGTCTCCATTAATCGACCTTATTTTAAGGAGCTTTAATTTCAAGAGGAAGGTCTGTTTCCAAGAGGAAGGTCTGTTTCCAAGAGGAAGGTCTGTTTCCAAGAGGAAGGTCTGTTTCCAAGAGGAAGGTCTGTTTCCAAGAGGAAGGTCTGTTTCCAAGAGGAAGGTCTGGTCCCAAGAGGAAGGTCTGTTTCCAAGAGGAAGGTCTGTTTCCAAGAGGAAGGTCTGTTTCCAAGAGGAAGGTCTGTTTCCAAGAGGTAGGTCTGTTTCCAAGAGGAAACTCTGGACCCAAGAGGGAACTCTGGTCCCAAGAGGAAGCCGTGTTTTCCTAGCAAAAGTGAATGCATTTTCTAGGTAGATAAAACATTTATAAAATATCAGGAAACAGCGGAAAAAAATAAATAAAAAAACGAATAACGGGGGGAAGGACAAGACACCAGCAGGAGGAGGACTGTTGGGAGCAGAACTCGCGGCGACACAGTCGCAATATTACAATCTCGGGGGAAGGGGGGGGGGAGCGTTACTGGTTTTTGGGAGAGGGGGAGGGACAAAGTAGACTGCCACTTATAACGTCCAAATGGCAGGAGGTTGCAGATAATGGACAGGTCACCTCAGAAAATTACCTCTCCACTCACACTAGTGTTAAGAGACGGTTTAGAAAGATCAAGTTTGATCAAAAATAAAAATAACGATAGTTTGTGCGTAATGTAACATCAATTCTGTCATTTAAATTCATTTTGTACAAGAAATTTCAAATATATCAATGGACGTCTAAAACCGACAAAAATAATGAAAAATGTCCAAGTTTCCTCTTGCTCTTCTATTCGACTGAAGATGTCTGCTGCTCAGGCGAAACGTTTTGACAGTGTGGGTACTTAAATACTGTACTCAACGCGTCGGTATTGTGTACCATTTCCAACAGGAACCTGGAACCTACCCTACAGTTCTGGCAGACAGACCTGGTCGGCTACCCGCGCTGTGGCAGCTTAAATATCGCTCTGTTTACATTATACGTCGAGCTTCGGATAATCATTCCTCCGGCTAATACGCGCCATCGGTTATCGCGGGATTCCTGTCAACGAGGGAATGAGAATCGACTCGTTAGCTTCTGCAGGTGTTAGTTTGAAATGCTAAGTAATTCCGTCGTTTGTTCGGAGGCGGATCGAGTTGGACTGGCGCGGGGGAGTGTGCACACACATTTACCTAGCCGCATTTGTCTAATTGTGTTTGCAAGGGTCGAGACAGCTCTTGGCTCCACCTCTCAAGTCTCGCCTACCGAATTTACTGATTTCTCAACTCAGAATAGTATACAACATAACTAAATTATACTGATCTATACCTCTTCCACTACCAGCCTTACCACAACTTCTTTGTCTTCTTCTCTTGGTCGCGTCCCTGTCCCTCTCACGTATATATACTGCTCTCTTCACTATCTTGTGTTAAGTGTGAATTTGTAAAATGGTGCAAGTCGAATCTTCTCTCTCCTATGTGTGGGTTATTTGTGTATTATACTTCAGTGTTTCCTCTCGTGTGTCTAGTCTTGTACACTGGAATCACATCTCTAATTTTTCACCTGCCTTCCACTTAGTTGCTCCCTTTCTTGTCGCATGTTATTAAATCCTTCCTAAGATGTCACACAATTCATCTGCTTTTCGCAATACCTTGGAAATTTCCTGTCTGGTCCCAGAGAGAGAGAGAGAGAGAGAGAGAGAGAGTGTGTGTACTCACCTAATTGTACTCACCTAATTGTGGTTGCAGGGGTCGAGACTCAGCTCCTGGCCCCGCCTCTTCACTGATCGCTACTGGATCCTCTCTCTCTCTGCTTCCTGAGCTTTGTCATACCTCTTCTTAAAACTATGTATGGTTCCTGCCTCCACTACTTCACTTGCTAGGCTATTCCATTTGCTGACAACTCTATGACTGAAGAAATACTTCCTAACGTCCCTGTGACTCGTCTGAGTCTTCAGCTTCCAGTTGTGACCCCTTGTCCCTGTGTCCCCTCTCAGGAACATCCTATCTCTGTCCACCTTGTCTATTCCCCGCAGTATCTTGTATGTCGTTATCATGTTCCCCTGACCCTTCTGTCCTCCAGTGTCGTCAGTCCGATTTCCCTTAACCTTTCCTCGTACGACATTCCCTTGAGCTCTGGGACTAGCCTTGTTGCAAACCTTTGTACTTTCTCTAACTTCTTGACGTGCTTGACCAGGTGTGGGTTCCAGACTGGTGCTGCATACTCCAGTATGGGCCTAACATACACAGTGTACAGTGTCTTGAACGATTCCTTATTAAGGTATCGGAACGCTATTCTCAGGTTTGCCAGGCGCCCGTATGCTGCAGCGGTTATTTGGTTGATGTGTGCCTCCGGTGATGTGCTGGGTTTGTTATGGTCCCCCCAAGGTCTTTCTCCCTGAGTTGAGGTCTGTAGTCTTTGTCCACCTAGCCTATACTCTGTCTGCGGTCTTCTTTGCCCCTCTCCAATCTTCATGACTTTGCATTTGGCTGGATTGAATTCGAAAAGCCATTTTGCTGGACCACATGTCCAGCCTGTCCAGGTCTCTTTGCAGTCCTGCCTAAATCCTCGTCCGATTTAATTCTTCTCATCAATTTTCACGTCATCTGCGAACGGGGACACTTCAGAGTCTTTTCCTTCCATCATGTCGTTCACATATATCAAAAATAGCACTGGTCCTAGAACTGACCCCTGTGGGACCCCGCTCCAAAACGGGGCGCCCACTGTGATCCCTCTTCACGTACCATGACTCGTTGCGGGCCTCCCTGTCAGGTATTTCCCTTATCCATTGCATTTGCCCCCCCTTTTACGTGCGCCTGATCCTCCAGCTTCTGCACTAATCTCTTGTGGGGAACTGTGTCAAAGGCCTTCCTGCAGTCTAGGAAAACGCAATTTTACCCACCCCTCTCTCTCGTGTCTTACTTCTGTTACCTTGTCATAAAACTCCAGGAGGTTTGTGATACAAGATTTGCCTTCCATGAACCCATGCTGGTTTTCATTTATAAATCTTGTTCCTTTCCAGTGTTCGACCACTCTCCTCCTGATAATCTTCTCCATGACTTTGCACACAATACATGTCAGAGACAGGTCTGTAGTTTAGTGCCTCGTTTCTGTTTCCTTTCTTAAATATGGGGACTACATTAGCTGTCTTCCATTTCTCAGGTAATTGCCCCGTTTCAAGGGATGTGTTGAAGATTGTGGTTAGAGGCACGCACAGCATTTTCTGCTCCTTCTCTAAGGACCCATGGGGAGATGTCCGTCCCATCGCCTTTGAGGTGTCAAGGTCACTTAAGTGCTTCTTCACCTCTCCTCAGTTGTTTCGTATGTCATCCAACACTTGTTGGTATATTCCCTCTTAATGTTCCCTTCTGTGCTGTCTTCCCACAGCCCTTCCTGTCTCTACTGTAAAAACTTCCTTAAATCTCCTGTTCAGCTCCTCACATACCTCCTGATCATTTCTTGTGAGTTCTCCACCTTCTGTCCTTAATCTGATCACCTGGTCTTTGACTGTTGTCTTCCTCCTGATGTGGCTATACAACAGTTTCGGGTCAGTCTTGATTCTCGATGCTATGTCATTTTCATACTGTCGCTGGGCCTCCCTCCTTACCTGTGCGTACTCATTCCTGACTCTGCGACTGATCTCCCTATTTTCGTGTGTTCTCTGCCTTCTGTACTTTTTCCATTCTCTATTGCACTTTGTTTTTGCCTCCTTACACCGTCGGGTAAACCAGGGGGTCGTTCTGGTCTTCCGTTGTTACTGTTGCCCTTGGGAATAAACCTTTCCACTGCCTCCTTGCATTTTGTTGTTACATATTCCATCATTTCATTTACTGGTTTTCCTGCCAGTTCTCTGTCCCACTGACCTCCCGCAGGAAGTTCTTCAACCCTATGTAGTCCCCTCTTTTATAGTCAGGCTTTTCCCATTCAACTCCTGTTATTCTCTCCACTTGCAGCTCTACTATGTATTCAAAGCACAGAACCACGTGGTCGCTAGCTCCTAGGGGACTCTCATACTTGATGTCCTCAATATCTGAGCTGCCCAGGGTGAACACAAGGTCCAATCTTGCTGGTTCATCCTCCCCTCTCACTCTGGTAGTGTCCTTAACATGTTGGTGCATGAGGTTTTCCAGCACCACGTCCAACATCCTGGCTC